CATTCGATTAAACGTCCTTCACCGTGTCCAACAACAACAAAATGTAATCAATAACGATTTTCTCTTTAATTTTGAAAATGTCCCAGGAACTTCTTGTAAAGTGCCCCCCAAATTTATAATATAGATTTCAAGCGGGGGGCGCGATATTAGCCAGAACGATTGGGGAATATCAATTTTGGAGAAAATTAGCTGAACGGTTTAGCCGTTAGCTTTGTTCACAGACGGACAGACAGATGGACGAAGAGACGGAGTAACTGACGGACAGATCACGGGCGCACAGACAGAATGGTTGATTTTGCATCGTTTTTGCAGCCAAATTTTTCATTTGAATTTTTTGTATGGTCAGTGCTAAATACATTGAATAACATCGCATAATGCCATTTTAATTTTTTAATTGTTTTAAAAATTATCGAAATGTAGTTTTTATGGTACATCTCTCACATCGTTAATATTTACATTATGGCGTTTTTTTCTTAAAATTATTCCATTTGTGAGTGCAAGTTCTTCAAGTGATTTCAAAAGACGTTTCTTAAACTTAAAAGTTTTCTGTGAAAATGAGCTTCAATTTGCGGATTTTCAGAAAAGCCCGAACGACATTTTCTCAAACAAGGGCTCCAAATTTTTAATGAAGAGGTAGATTTTTCATGTCCCTGGTCATATTTTAATTTAATTAGAGGACGGAAAATTGAGAAAATGTGAAAAATGTGTTTTAGGTACCGATAGGTAGTTTCTGAAAAGAAGGTGAGGCAGTACCGAAAGCCTAGCCCAGACTAAAGAGATTAAGGAAACTAGTTCGATAAAGTTTATGCCATTCTGTAGCATCATTTGCAATTTTCGTGAACATAAGTTGATTTTGTTAACATACACGCAGGGGAGTGCTCTTGGTTTGCTTGTTTTAAATATTTATTTTAGTTCAACATATGGCAAATAATAGTCGTTGTGAAAAAGGAAACCTAAAAAATATTGAAGTGTTGGTTACCAAATAATATGTAATAATGTATTCTCGTCAAGTTTACGGTACAATATTTACATAGGTGAGGAACTGAACCCCATTTCCAGTTTGCTGACGTTCTTTTCAGCTAAATGCTATGCAATACTCTGGCATTTTCGTTGACAGAGATAATTTGAAGCATCGGTAACAACACACAAGGCTTATTTAACTGCTTAAGAAAGTCGGTAGATAAACGTTCACCGCTGCCAACCTCACGAAAAACGATCGTCACGATTTCAGCACTCCAAAAGTTTGCAGTTGTGAATTCAGTTATAATGTTGAGATCACTGGGATTGGTTTACACTTACATTACCAACCTTGGTGGAAATATAAAACACATGGTTAGACCGGGATTAAATAATTATTCCACTCATTGATATTATATATCCAATTGATTTTTATATAGACTCTTATATTCTGTCACTGACATAAAACTATTTCTCTTCAGTCTTGTACTATCATCTCTACAAAAATATTCGGCGAGATCCATAACAATCCTCCGTGATCTTCTTTGCAAAGCCTGCCAGTTCGTCTCGAAAATATCACTACCAACTCCCGTTACGGATCCACAGAAAGGAGTGAGTAATTCATTGCTTTGTTTCTAATAATCTTACAATGATAGTACCCCCCTCCAAAAGTCTGTTTAAATATGTGGGCCGCCTTTCAAGTAATTCCTGGTTCATTCTATGAACCTCATTAATGTAAATATCTGATTGATATTTTTAATGTCAGGACTTATTCACAAAAATCACCAGTCACAATACTCAAAGATGCTTGAATTATGATCTCAAGTATGATATGTAAGCTCCAAAGATATGCTTGTGGAGATGATATTTTTACGTCTCATTCAGTCGCATTTTATTCGAAGTACATCTCCAATTGTCTTCGTAATGGTGCATCCCAACTCTCCCATACGAATTCGACCTTACTGCTCACGGCGTCAGGGCTTCTTGAGCCCGTGTAAGCAATGAAGTTCTGTATCCGTTGTGTATTCTGTATTCGCAGACGGTATTGTGCCCATCGAAACTTTTGCTTTTGCCCATTGTACGCCCCCGGTGACTTCGTCTGCGCGCGTTCGTCGACCTTCGCAGTCGTCGCCTTCGACTCACCGAACTCGTAGGGAAACTGTCTTCTTGAAAGGTTTTGCTTGTCAAATGTTTATTATTTCTTGAAACACAGCCTCTGTTAAAAGTCAGTTATACACGTGAATCAATCTTGTGATATTCCTACTGGATACTGCTTTGTGTATTGTGAAACGTATATTTCCGATTCCTAGATTTTGATGTCGCGAGATCGATATTTTGTACACTAAATGTGTTTTGTTCCTAAATGGCGAGGAACTCCGGCGGCATTTTTTAAAAAAATGTTCGGATATATTACAATTTTTACTTTCTTGCGTACAAATTACGTAGTATAGAGAAAGTTAGGTAATGCTACGGGAAAAATTGGCGGTTTTTCGGCAAAAAAACTTTACTTTGCAGTCCTGATTCTGATAAATCTTGTTCCATTATGTAGTAAATTACTTCCTTTAACACGTTGCGTAGTCAGAATCCGTTTTGTTGGCCGTTCACAGTGAAAACTTGGTTTACGACATAACAACTTCGCCTGTGAATAACGCAAGCTTTGCCCTAAATTAATATTCACAGATCGATCTCAAGAACGGCCATCGTTGTTTTAACCGAGTAATTGTTGGTTATACTTGGCGTGTGTTATCAGAAGGTACAATATATTCATAAGAATCTAATCACTGCAAGTTTTCATGCGTCTAAACCGGTCATAACTTAGGCCTACGTACTGTGTGCAAAATATCAATATCTACTTCAAGGACAAACTCGGTCAATTGTCCGCGTTTTGCACTGATCCGTGGCGGGTCTAACAAACTGGGGGGTTGTGGCTCTATCCAATGACTGGAATAAAATGTCCAAATTTCAGAACACTATCATAATAAAACAAGCAATTCATGTCAATTAAAACTTAGTTTAATAAAAGTCTTTATTCAAACATTACTTATATAATCGTATGCATTACAGACTGCATTGAAACAATTGCCGGTAAAAGAATTCATAAAAACCAAAAACGAAGTACTTTCGAAAATACAGTGATTGTACTCCAGTGCTTAGCAAGAAGCACTACTATTATTTGGACATGTTTTACACTAGTTTATGATGTTAGTTGTTATTGCTGCTGCTAGTGCTAATAACGACGAAATAAAATAATTTTATTTCGAAAATTTCGCTACCCTCGTATATATTGAAAACATCTGTAATTTTTCAGGGATGTATTTCTCTTAAGTCGAGATTCTTACTTCTTTGAGGAAGATGATTTGTCAGCAGCAACAACACTTACACACAACAATAACTATTTCTCAAGATCCACACGTACTCGTATTCACAAAGACGCTCTCAAATTTCACACATCGCTTGCAGAAGAGAGACAAAAAATGGACTTCTTTTCAGAACGGCCAGATTGCTCTAGGAGGCTGATTTTTTGCGAATCAACGACATTTTGTATTTTCTTTCTTATGAGCTTCGCGAATATCGATTTAGTTTGGGGCACTTTTCACCGCCGTATCCGGATATCCTTTTTTTGAACATGTCTGTTCAAATCAAATTTGTTTCCTTTGCTCACGTTTGCTATTTTTATGTCCTTAAAATAAATAAACATCATAAACGAAACAAAAGCTAATGTTGATTTAGCAGATATCGCTAAACTCGTGGCGAAGGCAAATTATTGACTTGCGAAGATTCGAATATTTACTGGGGCCATGTGAACGCAGCTCTATCTTCGCAGCCGCGTGGTGCTTAGGTATGTCCCAGAAGCATGCTCCAGCAGAGAGCTTATTTCGAAGATGGCCCCAGTATTCCTCGTATTTCTCCCAGTTCCTCGAAACTCGTTTCTCTCTGAGACCTACATGATAATATGACTTCTGCACCTCATTTCCTAAAGTAAATACAATGAGATTCACAAACAACACAAGTTTACTTCCCCTGATAAAACGCAAATGAGAGAAAGTTTGGGATCGACGACATTGTTCTGGTCATTCAGAGGTGTTTCTTGAAATGGTTGCGAAAGAAACTCTCAACAAAAAATAACTAGACGTGCTAAAACAGCACATAATTTCTCGCCCGTACTTTTACGCAAAATTACGCGAAAAGTACTCAAAATTTCAAAAACTTCTTCATTATCTTATTTCAAAATCTGTCTTTAAGAGACAGATTTTATTAAGGGAAAAACTCTCTACCTTAAAATTGTAGTGGTAGGAAGGTGCCGACATTTTTTTAATTTTTGCAATTTTCGAGGAATCAGAGTTTTTAACGATAATAGACCTGTACCATTCTCTTAAACGTCGTTCACACGATCCAAAAACAAAATTTAATAAAAAACGATGGAGCTCTTTTTTTCGCTATTATCCGAGGAGCTTCATGTAAATTACTCCCAAAATTAAAATATCAGCTTCAAGGGGCCGTGGCATCGGCCATATCCATTGCAGAATGTAAATTTTGGAGAAAATCGGCTGAACGGTTTACCCGCTAGCGTCGTTCGATCGGAAAGATGGACTTTTTCCCGTCTTTCAATTTTTCGGTGCCAAAACCCCACAAAACATGGATTCAGGATACACCTCGTGTTATAGGATTTTTTCTTCTAAAATTAGCAACTGGATTTATCTCTTTTTCGTTACCGATTTTTTTTTGCGCGCATTACATAACTTTCTCTTTTTTGCATAAGCGGTTGCGAGAAAATAAAAATGGATGGTTGGACATTTAAAATTAGTGTTAAATTATTCTTTTCGTTTAAGTCAAAAACTCCCCCAAAATTTCACAAATTCACGGTAGCCTAATGTTAAAAAATGTTCATATCTTCTGTCAAGTTTCATGTTGTTATGTATTCCTAAACGTTGATGACCATTTTCCTTCTAATGTGAGATAAAAATTCTACACAGAAATATAAACTCCTTTTCCTTGAGGTGTGTTTGATTGTATGCTTTAATATTTTGTTTCACGTTTTAGAGAACCATACGATGGCGAAATGGAAGACCGTTTTTGTGACTGGGGGTGCTGGATACATTGGCAGCCACTGCATTGTCGAACTTCTTGATGCCGGTTACGATGTCATAGCGATAGACAACTTTGCCAACTGTGTGAATGACCCCAAAGGAGAAGCACCCAGTCTGAAGAGAGTGGAGCAAATAACAGGGAAGAAAGTTACGTTTTACCCTTGTGATCTTTTGGACAAAGCAAGACTGGCAAAAATATTTTCCGAAGTGAGTAAACTTTTTGCTTTTAATTCTCGAGAGGCAGCGCCACTGAATGTCACGTGAGCAGAACATTTGCAGACTTTTCTCTCGCAAAGGCAAATTATTCCCTTGTGAACATAATTCAGTTGTATAATTCAGATGTATTATTTTACAAAATTTATATTTGGACGAATTACTTGGGAATCTGAAAATTCGTAACATTGACAAAATTACATGTACAAAATAATGTGTGAATAATATTACTCTGTGCATAATCTCAAACATATTTTCATCATTAATTTAGAAAAGTGCTATTTCTGATTCAGCATTCTTAACATTACTTTTGGGTCCAAGGAAAATTTTTATGTTCTTTTGATAAATCTTCAAGGACATTTTGAAGTGTGTTGTCCTCCATTGAGTCCTGTTATATCTTCCAGCAAAACAATTTTCTTCCGTTTCAAGATCATACTCCAGATAAATATTTTCTCCGTCAATCTCGTCACATTATTCACGTGTTCATCCACCTCCCCCTCATTAATTTGACAGGAAATCCTCATTTAATATTTTTTTTTCTATTTTCTGAGGTTCCAAGAATTTCCTTGTGTTCCAATACCTACGATTGCTAACGAAAACGACTCATTTTCGGAATGTAAATACTTGTACGTATCTTACGTGTAGTAATTAGAGAGTGAAATGAGCAGTAAGAAAAGACTCTTATATGACCGGCAGGGCAATGTAAATCTGCTCCAAACTGCCCCGAACTCACAATCTTGCAGACCGCCGGTAACTGGTGAGGGTAGCGGTGTTAGAAACGATTTTATCTTCTTCCTGGAATGTCACCGAAGGCCACGACTTCCGGGAAGGGCTATCGCCGAACGTACCCGGAAAAATATTTCAGTGGTAGCAATTCTGCACCAGCGCTGCCGCTCGAGGGTTAATTTGAAATGACAATAAACAAACTAAAGCATAATTGTAAGCAGTTATATTTGTTTTAAAATATGCCAATTTCTAATTTTGTTATTTTTTCCAGCATGAAATAGATTGTGTCATTCATTTTGCAGCAATGAAAGCTGTAGGAGAATCAATGCAAGTTCCCCTTCTCTACTACAAAAATAACATTGTAGGAACAATAAACTTGCTGGAGGTAATGTATTAGATCTTTCTTGCTTCATTTGTGATTTGGATTATTTAAAGTTCAAATTTATTTCAAACATTCTACTCAAGGAGATGCAGTTTAGATCCTTGCTTTCTGCTTCTCAACATTTAACTTTACATCCATTACATACTTAACATAATTTCATCCATGCTTTTAACACCTTTACAGCATTCTCCATTAATCATATTTCCCTCATGCTATCCCTCTCTTCCCTTTTCGTCAATTTATTTCATCTCTTTCCCTTCCTCTTCATTCTGAAGAGCCTGCTTCATCTGCTTGTAATCTCTCCTCACTCTATTCCCAGTCTTCTCTCTCGTTTTCCCTCTATTTGCCATTGTCATCATATAGCCTGGGGTACTCGTTTCCAATCCATTTTAGGAATCTATCTTGGTATCCTTCCATTCCTCAGACTCATCATAATGCTCCTCATCAGACAATCAAAAATGTTCATCCCTTTGTCCCAGCCAGTATTAAATCTCCTCGTGATTATCCCCCAAACTGTTTTAGAAGTATCCCCCCTTTTCTTGTTATATCTCTGACCTGTCCCTCTCACCTCCCATTATTCTTTATGAATATCCTAGATATTTATATTCCTTAACCTGTTCCATGTTTGACCGCTTCCATTGCCATTTGACTTAAAATCTACCACCCCACCTTTACTACAAATCATTATCGTACTCTTCTGTACCCTGAGTGCCATCTTTCTACCCCAGAATTTTTCCAATCTTTTCTACCTTCCATTTCCTATTCCAAAATAATCAGAAAATGAGCTGATATCTTCTATTTTGAAACTCAATATTTCCATCCATCCTTTTCTTCTGTAATTTAAAATGTACCATGACTTCTACCAAAAATATATATTTTCCCTCACAATTTTCTTACAACCATTAACTACCTTATTTATATCCAGAACTAGTTCATTACCTGTTGTTGCATAAGTATTTATTTATAACAATTATCGATTAAGTATCCTCTCATGCTTTGCCAGACTTCCCCACCTTATCCTCTCCCACTCCTCCTTATCCAGCCTGCAATAGCTGCCTGCCCATCCAGCCCTTTCTGTTCTATCTGCTTATTATGCTGCGCACACTCCTGTTCGTTCCACTAGTTCCATTCCTTCCACTCAGCCTGCTTTTTCTCTCTGCCCACTCCCTCTTTTCGCTCCAACTCCTTGCTCTCCTTCAGTTACTTGTGCTCCTTCTGCCTCTTTTGTTATTACCCATTCTGCTCCCAAATCACCTGGAAACAATACCACCCAGATGTATTGAAGATTCCATTAATATTATAAAAAAATAATTTTGGAGCAGCATTTTGAACTCTGCAATTTTGGATTTTTGACCACCCACAAGTATTTGTGCCAAATTTGGGAACATTCACTCAAGTGATTCTAAAGTTTTTGTGGCATGTATAAATGAATGTATAATAGAAAACATGAATATATAACATAACATAGGTAATATATAATAGATTACATTCACATTTCTAAAAAAGAATACCCTTCTCTGAATTTCAGGTGATGAAGGACCATAATTGTTATCAGCTGGTATTCTCAAGCTCATGTACTGTGTACGGGAACCCAGACACATTACCTATCACAGAAGATCATCCTACAGGAACTGTCACTAATGTTTACGGACGCACAAAGTATTTTATTGAAGAGATGTTGAAAGACATCAGTGCAGCTGAAAAGGTAAAAAATTAATTTAAAAAATTATATTGTTAATATTATTAAACAAATGAAGTTGCTAATATAACATATTTTAATTAAAATAGAAATGGAAATTATGATTTAAATTCTGTATTGTACCATATTAAATATTAAATATAAACTCAAAAGCTCAAAAAATATTAATACGAGTGAAACAGAGCTTTATAAGACAGAATGTTAATTAATAATTCTCAAGGTAAGAAAAATTGCTGACACTTATGACAAAAGTTTTTAAAGATCTGTATAGCATTATTGTATCAATTTTGCTCATTTTTTTATGAAGCGAAGAGCCATGAATGTTAGCTTTAAAAAACCTCTGAAAATACCTCCATTTGAATTTTATTACTTCGAATTGAATCCCCAGAAATTCATGGCTAGCATTCCTTTTTCCATGTCCAAGAGCCTGGATTTGGTTCTCTGTGGGAGAAAAAGAATTTTGTAAATTTCTGGAAGGGTTAGGTAATGGTAAACTACTTTTCTTTCTCCAAATTGCTAATTATATCTCATTAGCTGTACTCTCTAGTGGCATTCAGGCTCAGATATGCCTTGCAAGCAAGTAATTCTACTTGAACATTACTTCCATTGGATTATGGCAACGTTGTGTAATTCTTTTGTTGGAAATTAACACAAGCATGATCATTAGTATTTTGATATAATGCAAAAATAATCTTATTGTGTTCTGATTTACTAACTGATATTTGCCCATCTAAATAAAGTGGCAACTATAGCATCCACTCAATTGTAGAATAGCAAAATTGAAACCTTCTGAAGGCACCATGTATCCATGTTATAATTATCTCTATCTAGCAGACTACCCACCATTTCCAGAGTAATTGCTTATTACAGTTTTGCACAGACCTCCCTGCTTTATCGCACTCACCTATGTATTTTGTGGGGTTTCAGTGGGTAGGTGTTAAGCATTAAAATAATTGCTGGTTGCATACTCGGATTTTATTTTAACATGTCACATCCTTCCCAACCCCACCCCTAGAAGTACCTTACCTGTAGAATTTTCTCACATGATTTAAGTAATTTTGGTTGAATTTCTTTGGTTTTCTAGTTATGTTGAAACATACTCATACTGCATAACTCATCCTTTTTTATGTATTATGATTATGGCATTATTGTCCTCATCACTGTCAGTCCTCAGTACATAGTCACTATCCCATTAAGCATTTGCTCTCCAATAGTTTGAAGTAACTATTTGAAACATCTGTGAATTTTTAGCTTTAATTACTTGTTTGTTTCAATCATTTATAATTAATTTCAATTACATTTTATTTAATTAATTAATTTATATGAAGATGGAATATCCTGCTCTGAAGACATCATAGCATTCTGAAGTATTATAATTCAAATCAGATGCATCTAGTTAGAAAAAACAAAAGATTGATCAGGCCTACTAATATTCAGAATATAATTTTTCAGAATTGGAACATTGTATCCTTGCGATATTTCAATCCAGTGGGAGCGCATTCTTCTGGCCTTATAGGAGAAGATCCAACGAAAGCATTCACCAACCTGATGCCCTACATGGCACAAGTGGCCATAGGCAACAAGGCTAACCTTACTATTTACGGAGGTGATTATGACACAGTGGATGGAACAGGTTAGTTGACTGGATTTTGTAGTTCTGATGATAATTTTCTTTTATTATACAAACCAGTAATAATTAACAGTGGTCTTATAGACATAAAGAACAAATGTCCTGTTTCAACAAAATATTGGGAAATTTGTTTAATAAATTAATCTTAATGTGTAATATTTGTTATAATAATAACCAATATGGAAAATAATTCTGTTCTGCGTGAGTGATTTTCATAAATCAAAAAATATATATATTGCATTTGCTAAATTTTAAATGTTAAAGTTCAAAATTTAGAAGTAAGACATTGAGATGTAGAATTTACATCTTAGGTAGGTACAATGACACAGGAGAGATATTATCTAGTAAGACACATTCTTCTTTCTGTTTCAATTTATAGGTGTAAGAGATTATATTCATGTAATGGATCTTGCATCTGGTCATGTAGCAGCTTTGTCCAAGTTGCAGAAGGAACATCTTCGACTAAAGGCAAGTTCAAACATTGCCTGGCTTAACAATGAAAATATACTGACCAGTGGATGATACAAAGTCTGTTGTAGGTTTATAATCTAGGTTTGGGCACAGGCTTGTCTGTAAAACAACTTGTTCATGAATTTGAACATGCAACAGGTACATCCATTCCAATTTGTATGGGAGGAAGACGAATTGGAGATGTAGACAGCCTGATCTGTGATGGAACACTAGCAATGCATGAATTGGAATGGAAGCCTCAATATGATGTAAAAGCAATGTGTAAGTAGCTTGCTTTCATCCCACTGCAAATTTCAACCTTTTCATTTCAGACTTACAACCTGGGAACAGGGTATGGCATTTCTGTCCTTCAACTTCTAAGAACCTTTGAAGCTGTCACAAAAACAACTGTGCCCTTCGAAATTCAAGCACGTCGCACTGGTGATATTGTATCCATGTATGCGAATACCACTTTAGCTGAGACAGAGCTAGGCTGGAAGGCTAAGTACAATTTGGAACAAATGTGTAAGTGGGAGTGTGTGCTGCTTATAGCTGCTGGTAGAGAATTACTAATTGTGGGTTAGAAAGGTAGTGGGTTGTAGGCATGAGTAGCTCTAATGTGTTGTCTGCTGTAAGTAAATTTCTTTATTTCCGTGCACTGAATGGAGGTAGTATGCATCATGTTTGTGAAAAATGTTGATACTAAAATTCATGATAATGCATCCTGAGTCATCATTCTGTACATCAAAATGTAATTTTTAATTTTGCTGACAGTTCTACAAGGCAGTTCAAAAGTATTTGAAAAGGAATATTTAATAACTATGAGATAAACAAGTTTCAGAAAGTGAAAAACTACCTCTCTTTTATGCACATTTTACTAACACCTTGCAATTCTTTTTTGTCTTTTATGTGTATGTACTTAGATATTCCTTTACCTCAAGCAGGGAAAATTCAGAGAAAATTTTACTTTTACAGGCCAAGATTTCTGGCGATGGCAGACAATGAACCCTGATGGATATCGAGGCAATTCAACTACGAAAGTTAATGGTTCAGCTTCTGTCAATGGCAATCATGTGAATGGACACTAGTTCACCACAGGAAACGCTAAAAAGTCTTGTATTTATTATTTGTCAACACATTTAAATGTTCATAAACAAGTTCTTCAAATCAAGCCAAATAATATGGTGAAGCCCATCAACTAAAAAAAGTGCACTTTGAATACTTCATGATCATTTCATTTCAAACTTCCTGCAGTGGAAATTGGTGGATTATGTAAGTATGACTGACATTACTCAAGCCGCATGAATGATATGAAGAAAAAATATTTTCTTGCTTTTCAATTTATATTTTTTACCCACTTCATGTAGCAAGTTATTTCACATGAAGAAATTTGTGTCACCATATTTCTATCATAATTATAATTGTTATTTTACATTATTTTAAATAAATAAATTTAAGTAATTCTAATCTAGTAATGTCATTTTAATTTTCAGTGCGCAGAATTTTCAGTTATTGTCACTTTATGACCTTGCAGAGTCACCTCTATTTTTTTGAGATGATTCAGTGAAGCATGAAGATATTATTAGTTTGATAGAAGAACAAAATTTATATATCTATTGCACCATAATAAAAAATGTTGTGTGAAAAGGTCTTTTATTTGAAGAATAAGAAATTACCCATTCTTTCTATAACCAATTTCCATTTACCGTAGTTTATTTATTGGGGGTTAGGAGGGGAGGTTAACTACTGTGCTCATTGAGGCCCACAAGTGATGATCATGTGAGTAGATGATTAAGGCAGTGGCATTACGTTTGAGCCTGCAAGGCCCTCAACGCAAGCAGGCTCAGTTAAAAGAGGGCCTATTTTTAGGCTGAAGGTTTTGCAATTGTAAGAAATATTAATTACATGATACGTTCTCTGACACTTTACAATACTTGATACAATAAAAGATTAAAAACAGCATCTTCCAGAATAATGATTGTTCCGCTTTGATAGCTTATGTAACTGTTTCTAATCAATAATGGTAAGCAATTCATTTAAGTTTCGTATAAATCTTAATTTCATAAAATTAAATAATAAAGGCAGATATTTTCACTATTGATTATTAATCATAGACTGATGAATTTGAATTTGTTAAATATTTTTATTATTTAAGGTACTAACACTATTTGTGTTTGTTGTATAAAGAGTGTGGATAAGTTTCAGGGGTGGGCTAGCACTCATTTTGTTCGGGTAGAGATAATGATGAAGAGGTGAATTATGGGGAAATGATCGAATGAAAGGCAGGGTATACTGAAGAACAATGAGAAAATCTGTCAAGATATTGCCTTGTGCACCGCAAATTCCACTGACAGTAAATTGGCCATGGATCAAACTCGGACCCCGGCAATGGAAAATGCACGCATTATGCCATCAGCCCCTCTCCAATTATTCTAAGAAATGAAATTGCAAGCACATGCACTTCTTAACACTCTCCCACAGAAAAGATAAATTAGAATCATTTCCATTTATTTATTCAATTTTCTTCTGAGGGGGTACAATTGCAGGTCATGTTGTAAACAATAAACATTTCATCATAAAGTCTTTCTTAAAATTCTGTTAGGATAATTTAGTTATCTTTTGGACTAGTTAACTTTTGTAATACTAAATTCATTTGAATTGGATACTTTTATTCATTTATTGCCTAAAAAAGAAGTAAAACCTGGTTGTTTAGGGAGAAGTAATGGGATGTCTCTTAATTCTGCATAGCTTGCTTTTCTTCTGCTGGGATGTGATAACCAGTGCCTATCTGTACGTTAGCAGGGTTTCCTTTCCAGGGGCACTGTCCTACCCATGACAAGCTCTAAGCCGACACATGTGTGATAGTGTAATGTGTGCGTGTCCTTGTAAGACAGAAGAACAAGGTTGAGGAAGGAATGATTGCATATGGTCTGTAGCCCATTTGTTAGGGTTTGCTCCAGCATTTACCGAGTACTGATCAGAGGCACTACACAAATGCTGATCAAGAGTACCAGGCTGTTGCAATTTTCTTCCAGACAATAGTGGAATTTATCCCACCTATGAGGTCCCACGTTTGCTCTTCTAAGGCAAGGGAAACTGGATTAAAAACTTGGGAGTAAAATAATAAATTTTAAAATATTTATAAATGATAATAGAAATAATAATTTTGTAAATAACATGAGATTGCCAAATGTTTTATGACATAAATTTTACAGTATAGCCTCTTCATATTAAAACAGAACTGCCCCAAAAATTACTTACCTTTAATTAACATTTGAACCTGCATTATTTTTGTTATGTTTTTAATATCTGATGAAGTAATCTGGATACTCTAGGTAAAAACACATACTTCAACGTATGTTTTTTCAGGAACTTAACCAGATCATCTCAAAACAGATGCATTTTTATCAATTTATTATGGTTATAAATTGAATCAGGATCACAGTGGGCAAGTCAATTACGACACCAGGATATTATTTTTTTTATTTTATTACATTTGTGGGTGCCTGCTGCCCTACCTCTTCAGGTACTGGAATGAACATCAATATAGTAAACTAATCCGGCACTTTATAACTCCACAGACAGAGCATTTTAGTATAGAGTAATCCACTCTCACTTACAATATGATATTGAAATATGGAGAAGTACAACTCAAATAAATATTAAGATACTTGGTTCCCCAAAAGAAGTGTCTCAGAAGCACATTCAAACTTAAATCAAGATACATTAAGTTTCAATTCTTTTAGGAAGCTGAAGATCTTTGATATTGTTTTCTTCAAAACATGATGCAATTTGTCAAAAGTGTTGTTTGTAATTTGAGTTATTGCAGGATCTTTGGCTGCTGTTGGTAAGAAACATTCACGACTTTGCACTCAAAAGCTAAACATTAAGAATACATTTTGGAAATATTTGTAGTATTTATGTAGTCTAAATATTATATAGTTATAAATTACCATGTTATGAAGTTAAAGTGGGTTTTATTTGCCATAGGTTGGTCAATAAAACAAATTGTTTTGGCTGTTCAAAGAACTGACATGTATAACAATATTTATAGTGTATTAACTAATTTTGATATTAATTAATTATTATATATGTCATATGTCAAGTCAAGTTGTAAGTAAATGCCTTTTATCCCTATTGGCCAGCAGCTCAGTGCCATTAGTATCTGTCGCCTATTACTAATATTTTGAAATTTTGGATAAATTAATAAATTGATATAAGTAATAACAAATGTGTAATAACTCAAATTACAAACATCGTTTTGATAATTTGCATCATGTTTTGAAGAAAACAATATCAAAGATCTTCAGCTTCCTAAAACAACTTTAACTTATTATATCTGGATTTAAATAGTATTCTACAGCACATTTACTTTTCGTTACATCAATTTATTAATTTATCAAAAATTTCAAAATATTGTTTATTTCAGTGGTACATATGATTGCCTATTTGAAATGCAAAACTGCATTGAAACCATTTTCCCCTTGTTTCCCATTAATTTGTCATTTTGAAACCAATTTGAAACATCTGAAATCGTATTATGTATTGTTTCTTTTCTGCTACGAACATTAATGTCATCAGCAAACAGAACTGTTCTTCCATTTCTAATGGACAAGTGCATATTGTTTACATATAAAAGAAAGAGGATAGCACCTAAGATTGAACTCTGCAGATCTCTATGCTAAACTTGCAAATGAAAGATAAGTAAAGTTCTCACAGACAGGCCTTACAGAAGTATTTAACTACTCAGAAAATCTACAGCATTTTAATAAATATGCAATTAAATAATTATATGTCTGTTTACAAAACATATTGTTTATAAAGTAAAAATGCATCAAAAGTGTATATACATTGAAGGTGGATTTCCGTGAGTCAGAAACAAAACAATGAATCTCTCAGCTTCTCAATGGCAAATTGCCAGAATGACCTGATCGAGACCTAAAACTAAGAAGAATTTTACAATACTGGTAATATGGTATTTCCGTGACAATTGGTATACACCAGTGGTGCAACCTAGGGAGGAGGGAGCTCATTGTTGTAACGTTGAGCACTTCCTCCCAGAAGATGAAACATATTCACAAAAATATAGTTTTTATTAATTTTATATAGAAACAAATGTCATTCAATATCTCAATTTCATGAAATAAAAAAATTACAAATACGATACAAGTGTAATTTTCATTAATATCTCAAAGCAAATATCACACATTTAAATCTCCTACACTTTATGCGAAAGGGAATTTTTCTAGAAGAGGCTGAAATATTAATAGATACAAGTTTCAATACATGAGCGCACTATGTAAGTGTAACTAATAATGAAAGTACATTCTGTTGTATCCTAAATGACAATTGTAAACAAAGTAAAGAAAATCATATTCACCAAGAACGTATGAAGCAAAATAAGCAAGTATGATATGGTGATTCAGATATGTACCCTTGCGCTTTAAAGGGTTAAAACTATATCTTTAAATAATCTAAATGAAAATTTCAGAATTTTTGAAAAACACATATTCAAAATGTTCAACTTTTTTTCAAGAGTCAGGAGGGCTGAGTTTAGCAGTGAGTCCGATGGTACAGGCGTAATGTAAATGGCGTGCTAACTCTTAGACCCTGAGTTGAAATCTCCAGCAGTAGTGCACCCAGAAGACGTTCTTTAACACCCCGAAAATAATTACGTAACGCTTGAGACCCCCCCCGACACACACATTTATAAGAAATAAATTATATCTCAGAAAAAACAATTTGTATTAATTATATTTATGTTCTATTTTAAAATTTATGATAATTACAGTCAGAATTAATTAGCAATGCTGACTACATGTAAGTATAACACTCGGAACAAGTGCTATGTGAAGGAAGGGTGCACAGACACGAACATTTCTTACAAGCCATGCACACATTGAGGATGAAGCATGAGTGACAATCTACTGCACCAACTTAAATGGATTCTAAAATAAACAATAAATCAGTTTTGAATATTTGCTTTCTTTGAAAATCTTACAGATTGTTTTGAAAATCTTACAGATTTTATAAAAAAAATATGAAAAAAGAACCCTGTTTATTGCAACTCACTATACAATCATTTTAAATTATTTACGCTTTTTAAAAATTAATTAATATATTTAATGTTTTGGAATTGGATAGGAAAAAGTAATTTTATCACCAGATGTCGAAAAATTAAAAATAAATCAATGTTACATAACACTAAACTGACACCCCCTTTCTGCAAGTAAAGCAGCGTAACACTACCTCAAACCCTCTCCCCTCCTCATAGCATTATGTAATTTACAGACGATCCCTTAGCACAAAAAGAGAATTTGTTCCAAAGGTGACTGAATGCTTCATAAAATGAAGTGGCAGTATTGAACCAATATGTATTGTCAGCTAATATCTTTACTACCATATAATTCAAATAAATAAAGTAAAAGGTTCTCTGAAGATTTAGAAATATGCTGATGAGCACTCCCTTCTGTGCAATTTTTTTTAAGAAAAGAAAATGTTGCATGAATGTCCTCTGGAGGGAAGTTTGAATTTCTCTCGTTCTACATATGATTACACAGACACCTGCCATTGACAAAACCTTAAAATTTTAACATTTTTATTAAAACATACTACACATATGTTCACCGAAATGGTTAAGCATTAATACTGAAATTTAACAGTGGAATTTTCACAGCATTAAACATGAATATTGAATTTTAAAAGGCGAAAATTATTAGGTAACAGCAGAGGTAGTTTTTTCACTTGGGTTTTCCTTAAAGAGACTTATATGCTGAAGTTTGAGCACTTCATTACCCCAGCTTGTCCAATTGGGAAGAAGGTACCTAGCAAATAATTCCAGGCAATTGGGTTCTGGAGGTAAATATGAAGACAAAACATCTGCAATAGAATATACATATTTTTAATCGCATGGAATTTATTTTATGTAAATGCCTTTAATATAGATATACCTACACTAATTTAGATGCATGTATGGTTTTTGTCACAGAACCCTTTGTTTAAACAGTTCAAAAACCAGTAATTTAAAAAATACCTGAAAGAGGAGGTTTATGTGAGTGAATAGCACTGGGCACACTGATTATTATTTTTTCATCTTCAGGTACATTGTAACATCTAGATTTTTCAGAATTACAGCCAAAGATAATTCGTTCATATGGTTGCTTTTTAGGGGGATCTGCAAATGCACATATGGGTTCTCCTGAATTTGTTACCTGAAATCAGCATGAAAAATTGAGCCCCAAGAGAGTATAAAAAATAAAATTCTGTCTATTTCAAATTAAATCGTCATAGAATCTCACTTTCAACCAAATCCATGTTCCCAGATATTTCACTCCCCAGTCAGGAAACACTTCTGTTAATAAGGCATTGATATTTTGGTCTGAATTGGTGCACCATACTGCAACCAGAGCATCTGGAGATAAAAGTTCTGCTATTGGTAAGTTCTTGAGGCTGTCATTGTACATCATTTGATAACTAAAAAAAAAATGAATTGTATGATTAAAATGATTGTAATAACAAGCTGCAATAAATGTTTTTTTAAAGCACACAATAAATTACCTTGCTTCAGTACATTTTGATTTCTTGCGACGAATATATTTGTTCCACCATGGTGGATCTAATACAATAAGATCATACTTGACATTTAAAGGAACCAGTATTTCTTTTAACTTAATTACATCTTGGCAAAAGAACCTGCACATACTTGGAAATACATAACGCTCATTATTCACCTTTTCAATGACTGGATGACTTAAATTATTACATCCTTGAAATAACGATTTAGAATATTTTGAAGATTCTTTATAAAATGTATCCGCTTTCTCTTTGGCTTGAATGTTTTTGGTTGGAATTAGGGGTACTGGCTCTTTAAAGAAACCTTCACTTTTGGCTTTCAATAAAAGAGAGTGAAATACATTTTTTATCTTCTCCGTCTGGAAATTATTTACATGAGAAGACTGGATTCTAATTTCTCTTCCAGCTGAATTCTTCAGTTTCTTCTTGGGCGAATAATTGCAGTCCTTGGATCCACTGTCGTACGGGGACAAGATTTTAAAAATATCACTGTGGGGTTCAAGGTTACAAACTGAATCATTTTCTCGTGAATGTTTATACGCATATTGAAGATGAAGTTCGTGGTTTATAACGTAACCTTCTGAAGCTGAATATAAAATACTCATGACTACTCACCCTACTCATAAGTTTGGAAACATACATATATTGCGACAGGAGATACTTTTCACATGATTCTTTTACAACAAATTTCGATCTATAATCGAACCTCTCAACATAAATTATTTTTTAGGTTAAAAGAAAATTATACTTGCTCCGTTTGTATTTTCAACGAAATATGCGAATTAAAATACGTTACTGAATTCTTATCAATTGAAACGGAACATTTAAAAAATGACAGGTGTGAACGTAAAGAAACAAACTACAATAGCGCACCGGTGTTTCAGCAGCCCTGCTCGACACCCCACCCGCTAAATCCACCTTTTACCAGAATAAGATTGCACATTCAATCATATTTTATTAATTGATAAGTACTTCCAGCCGACTGCCAGTACAGTAAGAATTACTAGCACCTGCAGACAAAATAAATTAATTATTAAAAGACCAAATTGATCGGTTGGATGCGAGTGAAGAAAATCAGGCTGGAAATTAGTAATGGGATCAGGTACTACAACTATACACTGGTGGAAATCAGTGCTTGCAGTGGAAAATTTCTACTAAAAATCAGGGTAATTTAAATTAGCATACGGTGTACAAGAATTTCTTGAACACGTATCTCTCTCCCTGACAGGGAGTCCCTGTGTGCACATCCACGGAACATGTAAACAAACGCACGTATACTTCGATTTTGCTACAGTGGCCATTTACATTAGTCATTTGTTACATCTCCTGCCTTATAAAATGTATCTTTTGAACAGTAGTAAGCTCATTACTGAGGGTACGAGTGTCGTTGAGAAGGACGTTCACGAATTAATTAAAAATATTCATTTTATAAGGCTGTAGTTATAACTATGATCAAATGTCATCGACTACTACAGAACAATCGAAGTGTAAGAACCGGTTAGAACGAATCTTTTGAGCGCTGATAGAAAAATGGCGCACTCCTTTGAAATACTTCCTTAACCCTTCCCGGTCGGAAACGTTTGGTAACATGGATGTCGTTTATGTCGGAAGGCATCTTTAAGATGACATGGCGTCGAGAGTGATCAGATCCAGAGTATGGGTCGGAGCTTTCAGGAAGGTGGCTCGCCCTGCAGGTCGGAGGGCATCTCTCAGATGACAACGTCCATTCCATGACAGTCGGATGACTTCTCAGAGATGACAGCTGATTTTCTTCATATTTCTAGGTAAGACTTCCATACAACAATGAGATGGTATTGTAAATCGAAAATTTATTGTCTGTCGAAATACATACAAACGCTATATGACCAAATTTTTTTTGCCACTGATCGTTTTGACGCTAAAACTGATAATCCAGAAATCATATGGTCGATACCTTCATTTTTTTGGCCACACATTCTACAGTTGACGATTGGTATGTTTACACGCATGACGTACTTACAGTAAGCTCTCGTTGCGATTACGTGATTTTGAATCGCAATTATGAAGGCTTCCGTTTCCACAAAAAGGTTTCCAGTTTGCAGGTAAGCCAAAGAAGCTTGCAGATTCATTTCAGTATTTTCTAATGTGTTTCTGTAACGACCGTGGAGGGCTTTACTTCCATCTATTTACTTGTTGTTCGTTTGCATTCGAGGAAGGATCGTACATTTTGTTGAAGAGTTTATGTGCGGCTCTGTGATATACCTTTATAATTGCAGTCATCCACTTCCTGGATTTTGTCTTTTGAAGGAAGTAGTCTATGTGATTTCTCACTTTCATATGCTGCCTGATCGTGACACTAGGAATTCCTTTGCCTCCATCTACCAGGGGCATACGGAACCATTCAATTGAACTGTGCGAGTGCTGTGCTCTTGCTATACAAAATTCTTTCCTTGTTTTTATGTCAAGGTTTTTCAGTTTGGGGTCGGTCCATTTTAGTATTCCAAAGGAATAAGTGAGTACAGATGTTGTACATAAGTTAATTGCTTTCGCTTGGTTGGGTGCACTCAACTCTGTCTTCACGTTGGCGCACACCCTCTGGCTATCCACCATTTCCTTGGGCAAGATTATCTTCTATTCTTTCAGGCTGCAAATATCAGATATATTTGTATTTCTCTTCCTCAACCATTCCTTTGATGGTACATTGCTCTTTATTTATTTCATATCCAGGATGTCCAACCCATTCTTCTGTACTCATATAGCTAATTCTGCACTTGTCGATGCTAAATTGCATATTCATGTCATTGCTGAATTTTTTCACACAATCTAGGAGTCCATGAAGATAACTTTGGTTTTCAGTATACACTTTCAAGTCATCCTTATAAAAAGGTGACTTACTTGTGCTCCTGTTTTATCCAGCTTAAATCCCCTCTCCTGCCGATTTAGCATCGATGTTAGCGGTTTCACAGCAAGACAAAACAACAAAGGACTGAGAGCATCACCTCGAAAGATATTTCTCTCGATTTTAATATTTCCAACTTGAACGTTCTTTGCCAGTACTCAGTACAAGTTAGTACTCTATTGATCCATTGCATTACTCAGGAATCCCTTCACCTGATTCTCAACCCCACAGATTTCCAACACTCCACACTATTGCGCACTACTACTGGTGGCTCTCACGCTGTGAAGCCCAGCCCCAGCACCAGGCAGCGACTCTCTACCGAGGCGTCACCTGCTTCGTGTCTCCATACCAAGTGATGGGTGGTGCCCTGAGGCCATTGTCGCTCAGACAACCATTGCCTTGTTTATCAGCTTTCAACAGCTGTTGCCTGCCCCCACGTGGCTGAGATGTTCTATGAGCGGACGTAGGGTTGATTTGGGAGGTTGTTGTTGTTGTTGTTGTTCTTCTTCTTCTTCTTTTTCTTCTTCTTCTTCTTCTTCTTCTTCTTCTTCTTCTTCTTCTTCTCGAATGTCAAATCACGCCACTTTTATAACACATTGTACTTTTTGTATTTTCTCTTTCACATGATACTCTTCTACAGTTTTTGAACGGATGTAGGCGTCATTCACGTTTTCCTCGTCTTCAGCACTAATAATATCGTCAACTTTATCTGTATGCTCTACATTATCCTTCATCACTGTCATAAAACAATCTGTACACTTCACAATCTTCTTCACACAAATCATCTGGATTGTGAATACTTAATAACTTTTCAAACCGTTCAAGACTGTAATCCTTCGACATGTTCACATACTAGCACACAAGTACTTTAATAACACTTCATAGACGTGTACATAACACCACCTCCCATCTCCAGTTGATAAAAAACCCTCAAATCTCGTTATTAAATCCTGAACGTCCAATACCAACGGGGGACATGTAGTAACCCCAGGTATACATTCAAGCCGTAAAATGACTACTGAAAAAAAAGTTTGTCAAACAAGATATTTTAGTTAAAAAACAACTACAAAAGATATCAGAAATATAAAAAAATTATAAGGTGAGCAACAATAATAAAATATGCATTGGGGTAACTCAGTTATTCTCTTCGGTAGCAGAATGGTTATTGAATCGACTTTACAACGCCAAGAAGTGTGAACTGCCAATCATTGTTTTATTTCTGAATTTTCTTTCTTTTCTAATTCTACATTAACAAATGTAAACTTATTTTACTATTTCCTCGAACATAAGATGGCAGTCTTAATTTTATGGGAATTAATTTTCGAAACTTGTTTCGTTTAACTTAATTACTATTGACATTCTTGCCATTGAATAGTTTTTCAAAGTATTTCTGAAACTTTTTAAGCGCTATTCTTTCCTTTTCGTAGACGAACTGCTCTCTTGGCGGCGCGACGAGAAGTATTCCATTCCCGATCATCCACTTATATTTTCCTCAGCATTGTGTTTGTGTCGTCCTTCCACCCTTTCTTGCGATATTCCACATAATGGTTTTATCCCAACATATTTTAAAATTCTGCGTTTTACTCGATTTAATTAACTTGATGTAAATCCAAACATTCCGCGAACTACACATTTTTAAACAAATTTTAAAAAGATTTTGTTTGCCTCGTCCAGCTCCCATCAAGTCACTCCGCGTTCTCTGTCTGTATCCACATAACATCTAATCTGTAACTGTTCATCCTCCCACAGCTTCCTTTGTTTTTCATTGTTATTTACCATTTCGATTCTATTTTATAGTCGTCTCTCTTGCACATCTGGCTCCACTGGAGGCGTCACGATATTGAAAAACTTTCTTCAAAATTGGGGGGGGGGTATACGAAGCGCTTCGGAAATTTTCAAACTTTTCTCAAAATCGGCTCCATTTTTTTTCTTTAAATTTCCCGAAAGATTAGAGTAAAATAAACTTATTCAGGTGGCATAGATCTAATTTTAATGATTATCTCTAAATTTTCTAAAATTGAAAAAGTTAGAATTTTTTGCGCGACTTCCTACAAATACAGAATTAAAGATAGAAGTTTTTCCTTCATATAACACAGACTCACGAACGGACAGACAGGCGTTTGAAAAAAAAACTTTTTCGGTATCAGGGGACACTAAAACGTGTATTTCCGTTGAAATTTTGAAATCGATTTTCCGCAGGATTACATAACTTTCCCTATTTTACGTACATTACTCCGTATAGACGTACCTATAGGGAAAGGAAAAGGTTTTTAAGATTCACTCTTTACGTATAATCAATTAATAATGGACTTAATTTCAAATAGTACGTAAATTCAATAGTTCCTTAGTCAAGCCACAGTCACCAATTTATTAAGTAGACTGTGCCGCATCACCGTGGAACAATGATCTCTTTCCTTCTATCCTATTTTACGCATCTTGCAAAATACAACACATTAAAAAAAATAATGAAAGTTAATTTTGAAATTGGTTTAGATTTGTTCGCCTCCACAAATGGGGGCGTAGCTCAGATGGTAGAGCGCTCGCTTAGCATGTGAGAGGTACCGGGATCGATACCCGGCGCCTCCAGAATTTTAGAGGACATTTTTAAGAGCATTATTAAAGAAAATGCATCAACGGTCGATCAACAAACTTTTCATTCTTCCATTTACGCGTTATTATTTTTATTATAATAATAGTAACAATAATAGTAGTAGTAGTAATAATAATAATAACAATAATAACAATAATAATAATAATAATAATAATAATAATAATAATAATAATAATAATAATAATAATAATAATAATAATAATGTGTTTATTTCTGGCGTGCCTCAGTCCGTAAGGCCTGCTCTTCCGCCTATTAAATGTTTACATTTACATTACAATTGAGGCATTCTGGTATTGGAGTTCAATGGTAAGTGACATTTCGCTTTACTTACGAAAGTGTAATGAGTATTAGCCGTGTCGTAGCAATGTATTAGCTAACGGAGATGTGCTGCACAAAAGGAATGAAAAATAAGTATGGATGTGTTTTCATTGTCAATTTTCAGGACTCTAAAGCTAACACGTTGTAAAGAGAACCCTTGTTCCTTATTTACACGGAGGACGTGGTAAGTCAATAATTCTACTTTCGCAAAATGCCAGAAATTATCTTCTACACTATAATGCCTCAATTGTGAACAAATTACAAGAAAAAGGAGGGCAGATTTTTCATTTCTATTTACATTTATATGTGGAATGCAAGACTAGGGACCATCCTGACATAAGCCTTAAGCGATTGAGTAAAGCCAGGAAAACAATCAGGATGGCCGCCTAGGGCCGTAACACTAATGATACCAATGAGAAGAAAATAGAAAGATTAAAGGAAAAGTGTAAAGGCAGAAGGAAAGTAGAGGGAGTCAGAATTAATTATGAAAATGGGGAAAGTGGGGATGGGGAAGAGTGATAATACGAATATAAAGTTTTTCATACACATAAATGTAGTTTTTAGCAGAAAGTGGCTGAAGTCTGGAAGGGCGTCAGGGCTTTCAGCGACAGTGTAAAGAGGAGAAATGTACAGAAGAAAAGCTTGCCATCTTGA